ACCATTCAGCTTCCACTAGTCAAAGGGTAGGAATAGATGCCTTGTGAATTCCTGTCCTGTCCTACAGATCACCCTTCTGGCTTTGAAGATTTTATCAGATATATTGACCTCATCCTTTCAAGTCTATATTGAATACCACAATATCAACTTGTCCAGAATCACGAAACAGATTCTGCAGCCAAGTGGCTAAGACAGGATGAATAACGTTTTAGTTCAGATCTCACTTCTGCAAAAAATAAATAAATCACCAGGTGGCTTTAAAACACTGGCATGTTTTCTGCAATGGAACAGCATTTCTGTTTGCGAAAGAGAGGTAGCAATTTCCTCTGATTCCCCAGTCCCACTGTAGCCCCCCCCCCAACTTCACCCCCTGTGCTTTTTCTGAAATTCTGCTGACCCCCAGGATCAAGATTAAGAGGGCTGCAGTGGAAGCAAGGGAACTGGAAACTCCTGGTCCACAAGTTCCACAGATGGTTGGATTCAAGCCACTTTCTCTGGGTCAAATCAGATGGGTTCTGTGAATGGAGCTCCCAGTGTGTTCCCTACCCCCCCACCCCCTTTAAGCAGAAGGCACAAAAGGTCTGATTCAGACTGGGAGCAATGGAGTGAAAGAAGCAGGGTGGGGAGAGCAGGTTAAGCTTTCCTCTGAAAGGGCCCAATGGAGTTATTATTTGCCCTGTGGGCACAGAGAAATACCCACATCTGTACACCAAGGCAAACAGGAGTTCCGTGGGGCTCTTTCAGGTTGGGAACATAGCCCAAGCAGAAGGCTTAAACCCCTCTCTCCTTGCAGTCCTGATCCAAACTGGGGTCTTACCTATTTGCTACTTAAAGGGAAAATAAAAATTTCTGGGAATGCCACATATAGAACTCATACACACAGGCTCAGTCTTCTCTCTGTCTGCAACAGAGGGGTAATAGTTCCTACTTAACGTTACTTTGAACTCTTGTAAAGTCCTTTAAATACAAATTCCAGCTCAGCTATCATATCCCTTCTACATGTCTACTGAAAAACAATGGCTTCAGTCCAACAGACTGTTTGCATAGTTGGAATGATCTTCACTCATGGAGCAAGACTTTCTTGTCTTCTGTCCTCCCACTACAGCCCCAAATGCCTCCCCAAAGACCAATAGTTTTGGGGACAGTTTGAACTGCAGTCTATGGGTGTGGAAGAGATGGCAGAGTCATGTTCTGTGGGTGGAAACCATTGGATCCTATCCAATTAAATCTTTACTAGGGACTTTGTTTGGTGTAGTGGTTAAGAACATAAGAGACGCCAATGTTGGATCAGGCCAAGGCCCATCCAGTCCAACACTCTGTGTCACACAGTGGCCAGAAATACCAGTGCCATCAGGAGGTCCACCAGTGGGGCCAGGACATTAGAAGCCCTCCCACTGTTGACCCCCCCCCAAGCACCAAGAAGACAGAGCATCACTTGCCCCAGAGCCCCTAGCTATACCTTGTGGCTAATAGCCACTGATGGACCTCTGCTCCATATGCTTATCTAATTCCCTTTTGAAGCCGTCCATGCTTGTAGCACCCACCACTTCCTGTGGCAGTGAATTCCATGTGTTAATCACTCTTTGGGTGAAGAAGTACTTCCTTTTATCCGTTCTAACCCGACCGCTCTGCAGTTTCATGGAGTGCCCACGAGTTCTTGTATTGTGAGAAAGGGAGAAAAGTACCTCTTTCTCTACCTGCTCTTTCCCATGCATAATCTTATAAACCTCGATCATGTCACCCCTCAGTCGTCTTTTCTCCAAGCTAAAGAGCCCTAAGCGCTTTAACCTTTCCTCATAGGGAAAGTGTTCCAACCCTTTTATCATTCGAGTTGCCCTTTTCTGCACTTTTTCCAAAGCTATAATATCCTTTTTAAGGTGTGGTAACCAGAACTGCACACAGTATTCCAAATGAGGTCGCACCATTGATTTATATAGAGGCATTATGATATTGGCTGATCTGTTTTCAATACCCTTCCTAATAATCCCCAGCATAGCATTGGCCTTCTTTATTGCAGTCACACACTGTCTCGACATTTTCAGTGAGTTATCCACTACAACTCCAAGATCTCTCTCTTGCTCAGTCTCTGCCAGTTCAGACCCCATCAATGTGTATTTATATTTAGGATTTTTGGCTCCAATGTGCATCACCTTGCACTTGGCCACATTGAACCCCATTTGCCATGTTGACGCCCACTCGCCCATCCTTGACAGATCCCCTTGGAGTGCCTCACAATCCTCACTGGTTTTCACCACCCTGAACAACTTTGTATCATCCGCAAATTTAGCCACTTCACTGCTTACTCCCATCTCCAAATCATTAATGAACAAGTTAAAAAGCAGTGGACCAAGTACTGATCCCTGCGGTACCCCACTGCTTACCACCCTCCACTGAGAAAATTGCCCACCTACACTCACTCTCTGTTTTCTATGAACTAGCCAGTTTTTGATCCATAAAAGGACTTGTCCTTCTATCCCATGATTTTTGAGCTTACTTAGGAGCCTTTGATGAGGAACTTTATCAAAAGCTTTCTGGAAGTCAAGGTAAATAATATCTATTGGATCCCCCTTGTCCACATGTTTGTTCACCCCCTCAAAGAACACTAACAGGTTAGTGAGACAAGATCTTCCCTTACAGAAACCGTGCTGAGTCTGCCTCAATAGGTTTTGTTCATCTATGTGCCTACTAATTCTTTCCTTAATAATGGTTTCCACCAATTTACCCGGTATCGACGTCAGACTGACTGGCCTGTAATTTCCCGGATCTCCTCTGGAACCCTTTTTAAAGATGGGAGTGACATTAGCTACCTTCCAATCCTCAGGAATGGAGGCAGATTTTAAGGAAAGATTACATATCTTTGTCAGGAGATCTACAAGTTCACATTTGAGTTCTTTCAGAACTCTCGGATGTATGCCATCTGGGCCTGGTGATTTTTCAGTTTTTAAGTTGTCTATCAGTTTTAGGACCTCCTCTCTCGTCACCTCAATCTGACTCAGGTCTTTCAACACCCCTCCTGAAATCAGTGGTTCTGGAGTGGGCAAGCACTTCTCATCTTCCACAGTGAAGACGGAGGCAAAAAATGCATTTAGCTTCTCAGCCATTTCCCTATCATCCTTCAATACTCCTTTTACCCCTTGGTCGTCCAAGGGCCCCACTGCCTCCCTGGCTGGTTTCCTGTTTCTAATGTATTTGAAGAAAGTTTTATTGTTGGTTTTTACGTTTTTTGCTATATGCTCCTCATATTCCCTTTTTGCCTGCCTGACCTCAGACTTGCATTTTATTTGCCATAGCCTGTGTTCCGTTTTATCAGCCTCACTGTGACTAGCTTTCCACTGCTTAAAGGAATTCTTTTTACTTTTTACAGCCTCCATTACTCTGTTTGTTAACCATGCAGGCTTTTTCCTATACCTGTTTGTGCCTTTCCTAACCTGCGGAATATATATTTTTTGAGCTTCTAGGATCGTAGTTTTAAATAGATCCCAAGCTTCCCCAATTGTTTTGACCCTTTCTACTTTTCCTTTCAGTTTCCTCCCCACGTGTCCCCTCATATCAGAGAAATTACCCCTTTTAAAGTTAAAAATGGTTGTGTGAGTCTTTTTGGCCAATTCTCTATTTGTACAAATGATGAACTCAACAACATTATGATCACTGTTTCCAAGCGGTGCAATCACTTTTACATCTCTCACCAGGTCTTGAGTGTTACTTAGGACCAAATCAAGGATCGCCTCTCCCCTGGTAGGTTCCGTGACCATCTGCTCCATAGCACAGTCATTTAGAGTGTCTAGAAACTCAATCTCTTTTTCCCGACTAGAACACATATTGACCCAATCAATGTGTGGGTAGTTAAAATCACCTATTATTACACAGTGTTTTTGTCTAGTTGCTATCTTTAAGGCATTCATCATTTTATAATCCTCCTCTATCTTTTGATCTGGTGGGCGATAACAAACTCCCAGTGTTAAGTTTCCTTTTGGCCCCCCTATTTCAACCCATAGAACTTCCAGAAGCGAATCCACTTCACTTAGCCTCTCAATCTTTCTAGACTTTATACCCTCTCTGACATACAGAGCTACCCCACCTCCAACCCTTCCCCCCCATCCTTCCGATATAATATATAGCCGGGAATCACCGTGTCCCACTGATTTTCCTCATCCCACCAAGTTTCTGAAATACCCACAATGTCTATTTTTCCCTCCAACACCAAGCACTCCAACTCCCCCATTTTACCTTGGACACTTCTAGCATTTGTATAGAAACAGCTGTAATTTCCCTTACAAGTTAAGCCTGCATCCTTCCTCTTGCTATCTCGAGATGTTGTCCGGCAGTCCATGTCACCAGCCATGGCCTCTGTGGACTCTGTGGACTCTGATCTGGGAGAACCGGGTTTGATTCCCCACTCCTCCACTTGCACCTGGCTGGATGACCTTGGGCAAGCCGTAGTTCTGATAAGAGCTGTTCTCAAAAAAGAGCAGTTTCCGTCAGAGCTCTCTCAGCCCCACCTACCTCACAAGGTGTCTGTTGTGGGGAGGGGAGGAGAAAGGAGTTTGTAAGCTGCTCTGAGACACTTTTGGGTAGTGAAGGGCGGGGTATAAATCCAATCACTTCTTCTTCTTTAACAGAGCTAATTGCAGCAGACAGAGACAGCCTCCTAAACCACTGTCTGGTGACCTTATCCACCATCCCATAACCTAAGCCCATTGACAAGCCACCTTGCAGCTTTGCAAGGTATAGTGTGTGTGCATGAAACTTCATGAATGCTGGTTCCTAGAAAATCCCATGGAGTTTATCTCCCCTGCCCCCCATTCAGCATTCACATGCCAACCACAGAAGCAAAGAAACAGTGTTGTGGCGGCACTTCACAATAACCCACCTACTTTGCCCTTTCAAACGGAAGAGCTAACATTCTCCAAGTTCTCTTCTTCATTTTCCCACCCCACAAATAATGTTGAACATTCCTGGTGGTGCTCAGTATATTCAAATTCAAGCATGCATGTCCCTACCTTGCTTAAAACTTTCCTCTGCAAGAACCTTTGGAGGAGGCCATGGATTGGCTCCCCATCACATCGGAGCTGGACCCACAAGAAATGTTGCTGGACTATCAGGTCAGAGCCTTGAAGCCGAGATTTCGCAATGGTTCCCATAAGAAAGCAGTTCTCATGAAAGTAGTATGCATCCGACACTCCATTGGCTAATTAAAAAAAAATGACATTTTAAAATATATATATCAGGGTCAGCAACCTATGGCTCTATACCCAAATGTGGCTCAGAACAAAACCAGATATGATTCTTCCAAAAAGAAGATAAAATCTTTAATTTGGAGTACCCAGGAGGGTAGATGGGATGCCAAAATAACCAGTATGGAAAGGAAATGGCAGACTAGATTTTAAGAAGAATAAAGGACTTCTTAGAGGTGCATTACAGAAAGGGAAATCATGTGCGAATCACGTGCAGATTTGTGCTAGAGCACTAAAACATTTGTACAGGGTGCTCCAGTATATTTTTTATTACTTATCATGAGATCTCATGTTGTGTCATGCTTCCTAATAAAGGACTCATAATCAGTTGCAGGTAGCAGGAATTCTCAATTAATAGGTCAATTATTAGTAATGTTAAGTTGTATATTTTCAGTGTGCAAATGGGCTTTCTTATACTGGCTCTTTATTGATCTCTTGCTCTGAATTTTAATGCACCTTGGCTGTAACCATGAAAGGCTGCTGACCCCTGACATGATACGTGTTCAAACAGAATGCAAAAGCAGAAAATCCAATTCAAACTTAATTTCCAATGCAACTATCACAGCAAACACAGTAGATTTAAAAATGTTTTGTACCTTTCTTGAAAGTATAGGGGTTATCAGCGCCACGGTTTTCAAGAGGTTGCAGAAACTCCCCCAGTAATTCTGACAATGAAGCCTTTTCCAAATTCTCCAAAATTACAATGATTCTCTTGCTTACAGAAGGCTGTTTCACTGGGATCAGGCAAGCTGGAAGTACAAAGAGCTTATTGTGGTTGGCAGATGAAAAATCTCTCTCTCTTTATAAAGAATGCATTTTATACAAGCATCTATTAAAGAATGCAGGCACTTTCATGTTGACACTGTCTTTTAGGGCTTTTTTGGGGTGGTGGTGTTTGAATTCCCAAAGGCTGATGGCTGGTGTAGATGAAATGCAAGGCAGTCTCTGAGCCACAGTTAAGCAGGAAGAGAGATGGATCAGATGGATGACCAATGTATCAATCACTGAAATAATGGACTACCGGAAATGGAAGACAGACGCAGGAAATGTTACAGTTTCAAATCCAAAACATTGTCCTAAGAATCCTAGTAAAACTCTGCTTCAACACGGCCTACAACACAACAGGGGACAGATTAATTCCATGCACCAGCCCACAGCCTGTAAAATGGGAGCTGCAGAATAAACATTTGGGTTTCCAGAAGTGCTACGAGAAAGGGAAAACTGACTTGAGAGAGAGAAACTATGATCCGGGAAGACCAGATGATGTTTCTGCCCCACAGAGTTGAAGGTGGTATAAAATAACTATCACCATTTGTGGTGCACAGTTCTACTGACTCTGGCAGATACTTTTTATGTGGTCTGCAAAACCTGTTTGACCACAGGCAACAGTGAGACAAGAGGGGCCATGCAAAAAGAAACTTCTTTCACCTTTCCTGCTACAAACCTGTGAGACCCTCAAATCCTCTCAGAGCTCTCTTCTCACTATATTCTCTCCCCCCCCCCATTAGATCACGATGGTTCAAATGCAGCCCTTTATGGAGCAGCCTTCTGGAGGAGGTTAGGACACCTCCTGCTCTAGCCTGGTTTCAGACGTATTGTAAAGGCTTGTTGTTTAAAAGGGCATTTGATAGAGGCTGATGTCTTTTTTCATTTGGATGTGATGGACTGGATCCAACCAGCGTTTCTGCTGATGCAAAAGCAAGGATACAATCCTGCTTGACCACCAAAAAGGCTGTGTTGGGGACCTGCATAAACAAAAAATAATTATATGGAATGGAGGCTGTAGTAAGGAAGTAAGACTGAGTGAAAAAGCTGCCTGGATCCAACCCAATGTTTTGAGGAACTGTATACTAGTTAAAGGTAAAGGTAAAGGTTCCCTTGCTCGAAAGCCAGTTGAGTCCGACTCTAGCGTTGCGGTGCTCATCTCCGTTTCAAAGCCGAAGAGCCAGCGCTGTCCAAAGACGTTTCCGTGGTCATGTGGCCGGCATGACTAAACACCAAGGCGCATGGAACGCTGTTACCTTCCCACCTATTTATCTACTTGCAATTTCTTGCTTTCGAACTGCTAGGTTGGCAGGAGTATACTAGTTATGTTGTTGTAATGGGTTTGGAATTACCCGGAGATTTGAGGGTAGATCCTGGGAGGGTTGGGTTTAGAGAGGGGAGGGACCTCAGTAGGGTATAATGCCATATGGTCCACCTTCCAAAGTAGTCACTTTCTCCAGGGGAGGTGGAATAAAGTTATTAAATGAATCAATAATAAATAAGTGATGTATGTAGTCTGGAGATCTTTAGCCCCCACTTGGAGGTTAGCAACCCTATTTGTAAATGAATTTCTTATCATTGCATTTAAATTGCTTTCTGCAGGGCTTGGGTGATAGGAAAGGCAGGCTATCATAAATGTAATTCCAAACCACACCACAGAGTATGGATGAAGAGATCTGCAAAACAGAGCTAGAGACAGATGGGGGATATCTCTACATATCTGAAGGGAGTTGGAGGTAGCGAGCGTGGGCTTGGATCCTAAAACAGCCCTGGAAAGGGTTCTGTCCCCTTCCCCTGGTTCAGTGGTGACCACTGGAGACTCACTAACCACATCACTGATCTTGGTTACATTGGCCACCAAGCAACTGGGCCCTCCCTGGCTCCACTGGAGACCACAGCACAACTGGGCCTGGCACCGACAGTCAATGTGCCATTTGGCCAGACTTTTTTCATCAGGAGGCTGCCGGGGGAGGGAAGAAAGGAAAGCTGAAGACAGTGGTGCAGATAAAGGTAGGTAGGTTGGCTGGTGGATGGGAGGGACAGAACGAAGCAGGAAAAGGTAAGAGGCTATGAGGGTGCCAGGGAAAGGGAAGAGGAAAAAGAAGAAGAGGAGGAGGAGGAGATTGGATTTATACCCCACCCTTCACTACCCAAAGGAGTCTCAGAGCGGCTTACAAACTCCTTTCCCTTCCCCTCCCCACAACAGACACCCTGTGAGGTAGGTGGGGCTGAGAGAGCTCTGACAGAAGCTGCTCTTTTTCAAGGACAGCTCTTATCAGAACTACGGCTTGCCCAGGTCATCCAGCCAGGTGCAAGTGGAGGAGTGGGGAATTAAACCCGGTTCTCCCAGATTAGAGTCCGTGCACGTAACCACTACACCAAACTGGCACTTCACCAAACTGGCTAGTGGTGAAAGGGGATACAGGCAAAATGAGATGTCCACTTCAAGCCTTTGAGCATCCCTTGTAAATATATGAACTAACTAACTAACTAACTAACTAACTAACTAACTAAATAAATAAATAAATAAATAAATTGTCTGTTAGGGTTGCCAACCTTCAGGTGGTGGCTGGAGATCTCCTGCTATTAGAACTGATCTCCAGACAACAGAGCTCAGTTCACCTGGAGAAAATGGCCGCTTTGGCAGTTGGACTCTATGGCATTATACCCCAAACTCTGCCCTCCTGAGGCTCCACCTCCAAAATCTCCAGGTGTTTCGCAACCCAGAGCTGGCAATCCTATCGTCTATCTCCAACCCTATTGTCTATCTTTCCTTGTGAAGCACTCAGTAACATGGATGAACACATTTGGACAGCTTCTCTTATCAATCAACTTCATGATTAAAACTGAAATAGCTATCTTAGAATCTGCATGACTCTGATGAATAGTTTTACAGATTGTCCAACACAGCTCAGAATGTCAGAGCAGTGCAGACAGAACCGACAGAGAGAGACATGGTGGGGTCAACTAATGCCTCAGTTGTGTCATCATCATTCATTATTTAGACTGTGACTATCATTATATGAGGCGCCAGTATAGAATGTCCATAAATCTCTTGGTGGTAAGAGTTCCTGAAGTGATCAGTGCCATGTGATTAAATGTGGTAAGCACTCAGAGCAAAGCTCTTGTATAAAACAGACCAGGGCAGAGTGAGGTGTCTGGGCTCTTGGTCAAGAATGTAAGGTTTGGTTTGGGAAATTAAATGTTGAGGGAATCGTGCTCATCCTGAATAACAATTATATGGTTTGGCTTTATATAATACTCTTAATTTGATTAACCTTTTTGAGTAACATGGGACTTTTCAATGGACATTATTTTTATTTCCAGGCTTATGCTTTTAACCCCTTTTGTCACAAAGATATTTATTTTTTTGTTGCATTTATATCCCGCCCTCCCTGCAAACAGGCTCAGGGCGGCTTACATTGGTCGGTACAATGTACCAAGTCCACATAAAATTTTTTAAACATTTTAAAAACAATCATACAATTAAAGTGCTCACAGTAATCATTCCTTAGTTCAAGAGACACGTATCTCTGGGCCAAAGTAGACCAGATTTTGGAAATCCTTCCTTAGTTCTCATCTCTCTTTATAGTTCTAAAAGAAGCTGCCAAGGGAGAGGGAGGAGAATAGGGTTGGTTAAAATAATTCTTCCTCCTCCTCTTCCTCTCTGGTGCAGTTTTCCCAAAAACAAGTCATCCCACGGAGACTGTTTGCCTCCTGCAGAAGACTTACAGGCAGCTAAAAGCTTTTCACAGCAAAACAAAAAGCAGTTTCAACAGGACACGTTGCACTGGAAAAATGGCACTGAGACTGTGGAGGAGAGAAGGGTTCCTCCCCTCCCCAATATCTTTTACCACATAGGTCCCCCACAATTCCCTCCCCCCAGCACCTTCTGTTAGAAGACATTTAAAGAGACAGGGAATCTGACTACAGATCTCCAGTTTCTCATCCAGCATGACCCTTTGTCTCTGGAGTTTCTTCCATCTTCTGTTAGAATATGCCCTAGGCTACACCAAGTGAATTAGTGGGTTTCCTTTATAAACAATGAAAACCTGATTTGTGATTATCCCCCCCCCCCAAATACACACACCTTCTGCCCTATTTTATTAAAATAAGCTTACCAGTACTGATGAACAATTCTGCCAGTTGCTCCTTGGAGAAATCAGCATCTATCTTAACTCTGACTATTTCACAGCTGAACCCTGAAGCCAGTTGCTTGTGCTGTCATTAAAAAAGTCCACAAACATAGTGAAATGATAATCGTATGCACTCTCTTCTTTTTCAAACCTTGTACAGTTTTATCTTCTTACCTCCATGCAGAGTGCTATCTGGTAGGCTATATAATCCTGCAAGCTTCCTTCTGGACCATGGAAGATAACATTACGGTACTGTTCCACCTGCAGATAAATACGGTAGTATTTATGTGCACTTTCTTTTACGGGCCTCTTTTAAAATAACTAAAGCATATGATTATCATTCTGTGAATATTAGCTAAAATTCTTGAAATCCATGGAGTCATGCTTATAAACACGGCTGACACGCCATCACCACCATAGCTACTGGAAGACAAGGAAAACTGCCAGCAGCTTTTAAAATGTAAAGCTAGTCCAAGCAAAGACCTTATCTAGTTATTATCCTTCCAGCTGTTAGTCAAATGTCACAGAATCAAAAGCCAGGATCCAAAGAGCTACTTCAGACGCTTCTAATGGCTTTGGTATCCCACTGGAATTTTGACCTTTTTTCTTTCATCAGCAGGCCTAGGTGCCATGTCATAGTGCCCTTGGACTCTCAAGTAGTTTGGCAAATGCTAACGCTGCTTAAAAAATGCAAGTTCAAAGCTCTTTTTTGCATATGCAAATGGTTGTACAGTTCTTTAACTTTTTTAAAAATAAATAAATCTCTGACTTTGATCCTATGACTTTGTTCCACAGGCGCTTCTGACTGGCCACACTGAAAGCTGTCCTCTGCTGTGGAGTGCGCTCCCTCTTGCTCTAGGCATTTCCGCTTGTGTGAGGCTACTGTTTTCCAAGGACCCTCAAAGTGCTGAGTCTGAGAGGCATGTGCTCCACAGCACAAGACAGCCCCTGCAGTGGCCAGAGAGAAGCTCCCACAGAACAAAGGATCCAACCCAATGTCTGCACATAATGCAAGAGCATTTTCAGCTCTTGTATTTTCAGGGCTGCTGTTGCTGCCAACAGCGGAAATTCAGGGCTCGTGCCACAGTTTCCTAGCAACATAAACTACCTGCTGAGGGTTCTGAAGATAGCTTTACAAACTGAATTCCAAGAGGACAGAAACAGCTCTACCGCTGCAATAGCCGTGTACTTTAAATGTTAACTTGCTGCCGCTAATAGTCTTGTTTTTTCAAGCAGTTTTTAGGGCAGGCCTAACAAGAGCTATTTGCCATGATAACTGGACGTTTCATATTCAGAGGTGGAATGCCAATGAAAAGCTATTGTGGGAAGGCAGAACAAGTGGGGGAGACTACTCTTGTGCTTGTGGGTTTCCTTGAAGTATCCATCTGGCCAGTTGGGAAACAGGATGCTGAGTTATGGGCAGCTCCAGTGAGGTTCTAAATTCTGAACAAAATTACGGTCACTTTGCATGCACCCTGAGCGGGATGGCCCAGGCGAGTCCAACCTTGTCAGATCTTGGAAGCTGAGGAAGTCAGCCCCGTTTAGTACTTGAATGGGAAACCACCATTGGAAGTTCAGGGTTGCTACACAGAGGCAGGCAATGGAAAGCCATCTCCAATTGTCTCCTGCCTTGCAAATCCTATGGGGTTGGTTGTCATAAATGGGTTGATGGCACTTTCCATCACCAATTTTGCATGCCTGGAGAAAGTCAGCAATACATTAAGAGTTAAAAGAGTTGCATTTTTCCCCCAAAGCCAAAGGACCAGGAGACAAATATGCTGTGTTAGAGTTTTGTTGATGTTGGTTTGGCTTTCAGGAGGTTGTTTTCTGACCCACTCTTCGAAACAAAAACAAACAAAAAAACAAGCAAAGGGACACAAGGTTTTGCATACAGATGGGAACAGCACTTTACCTAGCACAGCTGCAGTGATACAAAACAGCCATGACCCTCAATGGTTGAAAGCCTTGAGTTCCAGTGACAAATGTGGATTATAAATAATGTAAATAAATAAATAAATAGACACAATTGTTTTTGCCCCATTGCAGAGTGAATTTGGTCATCATCTTAAAATCAGTGAAGACCCTGCCAGTTTGAAAGACTCTAGTATCCATCTGGCTTTTGGTCAAGCAAAGAAAAAAAAAGGGGGAGGAGGGATCAGATTTTGTGGTAGAAGTCTTGGTCCTCTTTTCTTTTTGCAGAAGAGCACAGCTATTTATTGTTTTTTTTATTTAAAATGTTTTTATGCCACCTTTCTTTCCAATCAGGGTTTACAAATCAGCACATGTAAAACGTTAGATTAGAACAATTAAAAGCAACATTAAAATGATAAAACAATTAAATAAAAATACATAAAACCACCTTAGAAGCAGGGAGGAGGGCCAATAACCATTACTGTGGGTAGAAGAAACATAATTTTAAAAGCCTTTATGTGCTGGCAAGAGACATGGATAGAGGGAGACAGACAGATCTCCCTGGGGAGGGAGCTCCAAAGTCCTGGTGCCACAACCAAGAAAGTGTTATCTCAGGTTGCCGCCACCTGTCTAGCCTCCGAGGGTGGGGCAACTGAAGCAGGGCCTCCAAAGATGACTGGAGCGAGCGGGCAGGTCCATATGGGAGAAAGCGGTCCTTAAGATATGATGGTCCCAGGCCGTAAAGGCCTTCAAAGGTCACAGTAGATCTCCTACTGTGCCTGGGACAGTAAAGGCTCAGATGTAGGTGTCGGCAGATGCTGCGCTATCTTAAAGAATGGACATGAACTAGCTGATGCTATACTAGTAGAGAAGTACCCTTTCCTCACTGCCCTCACCACCACTTCACAGGTCTTACAGTGAGCTCTATACCATGATTTGTCATATTCAGTACGATTTCTTTGCCGGTGCCGTCCTAGACATCTCTCACCCCTTTCCATATCACCCAGCTCTGTGGTAAGCCAGGGGGCTGGGTTTCATCCCAAAGGCGAGAGATATCCACAAGGGGCAACCTGGCTGATAGTTTCAAAGAGCTTCACATCCCATGCTTCCACTGTGGCCTCTATAGAACATATGTTTGGAATCCTAAAAACCCCCATGAGCAGACCATTTTAACCAGCCCTCTCCTAATGCAGGGTGTTGAATGCAGGGGGTCAGACCATGGTTATCTCCAGCCCTGAAACCAAACCTTGCCTCAAAGTCTTAACACAAAAGATTAAGTCCAGAATGTGACCTCTTTTATGTGTTGGGCTAGTCACAATTTGGGAAAGACCCAAGGCAGTCAAAGAAACTATAGAGTCCTGAGTTGGTCCTAGCAAGGTATCCTTGGCATGAATGCTGAAGTCCTCCCAGATCCATCAGTCTAAGAGTCTCCAGTACCACATCCAACAGTACCTCTGCCAACTCACAGAAGATGCCCACTGGAGAACTAGGTGGCTGATTGATAAGAAAAATACCTAATGTAACCCATGCCTCATCAGATTCATCCCGAGTCTTTCTCCACCATCACTCTGTCTCCCCTGTCTTTTCATTATCTGCAGTCTCTGTTACCTAGGGGATGCCTGGGCCCTTAGACCTGAGAGAGGGTGCCTGGGTGTGATTGTGTCAGTTGCCCAGGTCATTTTCCCATTCTAGAGGTCAACCAGAGCAATTAAAAGACCTATCCGGGTTGTGCCCCAAACAATTAGAACACACAAGAGGTCCACAGACAGAACTAATTAAAAAGAGTGTTCAGGAAATAGTAGTTTTTTTCTCACCAGCCTCAGGTAATTCTGCAGAGTCTGAAGACGGATCATTGAGGCATAAGCCACACTGTGCAGGCAGCCTTCTTGAGGACCTGGAAATCAACAGCACAACAGCAATCAGCACAATCCTAAACTCTGTGGGAGCTGTGAGAGACTGGCAGAGGCTACCTCCTCATTCTCCTCTATGAGTTGGTGAGTGCTCCCAGAGGTCTCATAAGAGAAAAATCAGGCTAGTTACTATACAACCCCTGGAGCTGCTAAAATAAGGTCAGTAATCTCTCTTGGGATATCTGTGATTGTACAGTTATACTTCTTCCTCTGCTTGAACATAATAAAAACAACCAAAAAGATGAAGTTTTACTACTAAACAGCAGCATAACAAATGTTTAATATGCTTTAATGTACTCCATGCTTCTCTCGCACATTATCTCAATAATCTTTCTGGCACCCCTATAAGGTAGGCCAGTTGTATTGTTTCCACATTGCTGGGGTGAGGAAATGGCATAATTGGGCCTAAGGTCACCCTGTGAAAGAACTCATCCCTGAGGTGGAATCTGAATCAGGGACTTACTGGTTTTCTTTGTGACAACACCATACTACCCCTTAAGGATTCCTAAAGAAAATACAAATTCTATGGTCAGAATAAAGGATGTGTAAGCAATAAATCCGGGTCACAGGATATTCATCCATCTATCTAGTGCACGGGTGTCAAACATGTGGCCCGGGGGCCGGATCAGGCCCCCGGAAGGCTTCTATCAGGCCCACAGTGGAACTGGCCGTCTTCTGCTTCTTCTTCCAGTTCTGCTGCTGCTGCATCATTGTAGGTTTGCAGCTTGCAGATACACACCTGAACAGCATACTCAAGATTGCAACAACACAGACATTTTGATGCAATAGTTCAGAGCAAGAGGTGTCAGTTATCAGACACTGTTAAATAAACAAAATATTGCAAGAGTGCTAATGTTTTAAGCGTGTTTATATTTTAAGTTAAAAAACCCCTTTGTGTGTCCTTTATAAAGTTTATATCTATGCTACCAGGCATTACATTTTATGACACACATGGCCCAGCCCAACAAGGTCTCATTTATGTCAGATCCGGCCCTCATAACAAACGAGTTTGACACCCCTGATCTAGTGTATTTTTATAGTACTCTTCCTCCTTCCTGTCATTTCCACTAGAGCGTGGAGGAATAGAGCACTCAGGAGGGCCAGTCACTCTCCAACCAATTAACAGTAGCTCTCCACTACTTCCTTATCCTTCCCTTTAAAGTTGCTGCAGCTGCTTCTCTCCTCTTTCTCTTTTGTACAAAGGAGGAAGCAGCACACACACCCCTCTTTACTCTGGATGAGAAAATAATAGCACAGCACTCTTTCTTGGGTTGCCAACCTACAGGTGGCACCTGGAGATCTCCCGCTATTACAGTTGATCTCCAGATGACCAAGATCAGTTCCCCTGGAGAAAATGGCTGCTTTGGAGGGTTTCTCCCCTCTTCAAGCCCTGCCCTCCCCAGCCTCCACCCCCAGGTATTTCCCAACCCATAGCTGGCTATCGCAAATGAGAAATGGTGTTCAAAAACCCTTCCTCATTTCTTGTTGCTCAAGAGCTGATTCCCTTTGTTAGATGTTCAAGGGAAGTTACTTTTTGAACTGAATTTCAAGCTTAATAAGAATGTGGCATGTAATTACTCAAGATGACAACTCCAGCAGCAACTCCTACACCATTCAGTACTTAGAACATTTTGGCAGGATGTGAAACCAACATTAAAGGCAAAAGTATTTACCCAGCAAAAATATGACTATATATTCCACCTGGTTCCTTTTCAGAAACTCCCAAGGTGGCTGGGGAAACGTCTGGCCTACTGACCATGAAACATTGCCTGTTGAAAAGAGGGAAATGATACAGAGTTATACTTACAAAAAGAGAGGGCAGAATATGCAGATCTGAAAATACCTTTACAACATGTCATATACACTGTGGTGTTTTTTTAAAAAACAAATTCTGGAGACCTCAGGGTGTATCACTGTCATGACAAAAAGCTGAAACTCACTGCTGTATAATGAAACTACCCACATAAAGTTTAAACACTAATATAAAGTCAACATTTCTTTATAACGGTCATATGTAATTTTGTATGCGTCCAATTCTCTTCTCAGAGCATGTACAAAATAGGGTGTTTCTAATTAAATGCTACCAAAACAGAACAGAGTTAGGAACAGAAGATTCTACTGATGGCATCAGGTTGGACCCAAACAATGTTGCTGGGTCCAAAGGTGTCCTTCTGTTCCTCCTTCCATAAGAGGAAGACTCCTGCTCACAGAAGTCCTTTAGCCAAGGAATGGGTACTTTGGATCCAACCCTATAGGTTGACCCCAAACTTTTTCAGCCACTGGCTGCATAAAGTTGCATATAAATGCAATATAGTATTCGTGCTGTGGTTGCTACTGCAAAACCAGTTCCTTCTCTAACACATGTATAAAATGTGGTGTATAAAATGCTCTGATAACACGAGTCATCCTGACCATGCAGATGACTTCCCATGCCAACATCAGTAGCAATCATACCACAAAGGTAGCATGTGAACTGAGCCACAGTCAGGGTTAAGCTTCATACTTCGATCCAAATTTACTGTACATTTGGCTGACAGTTACAACTCTTTGATAATTTATTTAGACTCTACTGTATAGACATGCCCACCGGTGTCAGACTAGTTTGTTTATTTCATAAACCCATCAATCTAGCCACACCCACAGAATATTCAGATGGAGGGGGCACTCTATTTTTGCTTTTTATTTATCTTAAAACATTTGAATGCCACCTTCCCATCTAACCTATGGTCCCCAAGGCTCTTAGGTTTGCCAGATGATATTGAATTCAGTGTTCATTTGCTTTATTTTGGCTTTGCCTTTGCAAGACACTTAATGTTTCTATTAACTAACTACTTCAGTGCAGTAACCCCCCCCCAAAAAAAAGACACCAAGGAAAACAATTTTTTGTACAAAGCAACAGTGCTGATACCAAGCTTGATGGACGATATGCTGCTTGCAGTGAGGCCCATGCTGGATTCCGCTGTGTTGTTAAGCGGCAGGTCTCCCAGGTTCCTCCACCCATCAGAGGCAACTGCTTGGAAATAGACTGTTACTGCCTGGCTCACTGTTTTTGAAAAATCATCCCATGTTGCCTGCTTGCGGATATTGAGCACGCATATGGTGCTTTCCATTTCTAGGTCCTCCGTGCCACAGTAGGCTGGCTCTACCTGGCCAACTGCGATCCGCAAAGGGATTTTGAGAGCATCTGTTGAAATATAACCAGAGAGCTGGAATGTAGCAAAACAGTGCACAATACACTGAGAGAGTAACTAAAAGAAATAAGACAAAACCATATTCAATGGGGCATCCAAGCGATGCGCCACTACTTATTACAATCCATAGCCCCAGAGGGGAGCCAGAATGGCAATCAGAGTTACAAATGCAAACTGTTTTAATAAACAACAGAACAAAAGTGCCACTTGTTAATGTCTCAGATAACACAGAAAGTACTTGCACGTAAAATAGCACAGCTGTTACAGGAAACCGTGAGTATGGCAATCATACAGGTATGAGTTTTTTAAAATACATGTGTAAAGTGCCCCTAAGTAGTTGCAGAACCATTGGGAAATGTTTTGGCCTTAGAGGAAGTATTTCAGCTTGACTAAAGTCTTGTTTTAAACCTGGTTGAGGACTGAGCTAGAAAATCAGGCTTATGGCTCTCTTCCGCTAAGTGAGGAATCTTCCTTTTGAGGAAGACCCCTTCCTCAGCTGACATTTCCTCAGTTGAAACCAGCTATTAGATCCAACCTACAAACTATCATTTTCTAAATGATGGTGGGGTCCACAAAGCTAGCATTGTGGAGTTTAAACAACTATTTCTATGCCACCTGAGAAAATGTCCACAGTCTGAAGGGTCTCACTGAATTACCTGACTGAACTGCCTAACCAAATATATGACACTACAAAATCTAAATCATCTCAAATACAACCCTCAGTGGCAGAGATTCCATGGCCCTGGTCACACGGGAGGTTTTGCCCCGCAAGAGGGACGGATCAGGGGCGCATCAAACGGGCGCGATCACACTGCAACATCTGGGAAGCAGAGCGCACCCGTCCCCGATCTATCCTTTCTGGGGGGAAACACGCATAAAGAAAAAAACCTAGAAAAGAGTACTACCTACCTGAAGCTCCGCAGCAAGGGTAGCCGTGGGATCGCTGGCGCACCCGTCTTCTGCAGCATTCGAGCCTCCCAGCCAAACTGCGCATGCACGCACATGCACAGCCGGCTGCCTCGCTCTCTGTCCCGTGGCTCCTCCCCCGGCATCTGATCGTGCCGGGGAGCAACTGCGCGGCGGCTTGGGGGATCTGTCTGATCCCGCCGTGCGTCTATTTTGCTGCGGCTCAGAAAAGCCGCGCTTTGGCCGTGCTTTTCCCCCCTGTGTGACCGGTGCCCATGATGAAAAATCTTCAATAAATAAGGACTGAAGCACTAGGTGTTCAACCAATGAAGTGCCCCAAGAGCATCTACCTTGCAACTTCCATTGATTCCCGTGCCCTGTTCTCGGTGGACAAACATCATGGTTTATAATGACACTTCCTTTCAAATATTTTGAAAATGATCAGCATAATCCTCCACCCTTTATTCTTTTCTTGCAAATGACCACTTCTTTTAATCTTTTGTCATATTATCTGTCTTTCACCATCTTCATTTCTGTGGTAAAGTATCAGCAAGGAAAGCAAAAGAGATAAAGAGCTGGCATGGGGTAAAGGTTAGAGTGTTTGACTAGGATGTGGGACAACCAAGTCTAAATCTCTGCTCTGCTAGTAATGGAAGCTTTAATAGGAGGCTTTGGGCCCATCACAGCCTAACATATCTCATAAGATCGCTGTTGTGATGATGTGGAGGAGGTTAGAATGATGTGATAGTTGCTTTGGGTCTCCATATGAAGCAACATATAAATATGTTGCCCAGCTAAGAGACCAACAAGCATCACCAGGCTGCTCTGTATGGCCACCTTAATTAGCTTCTTTTAAGAGGCACCTGAACTCCCAGCATTAGGCTGCCATCTTTAGGTTTTATTAGAATTTTACTGTTATTTATTAACTGTTGTACTTTAATGTTTTAATTATTTTATGTGTTATATATGACTGTTGTGATCCGCCCTGAGCTCATTTGTGGGGGAGGGTAGGATGAAAATCAAATAAATAAATAAATAAATAAATAAATAATGAGGTGGATCCAATCATCTTCCAAAGAACCTTCCTCCAGCTTAATAAGCCCTTCTCAAACTTAAGCGGCTCTCATTCTCCAGTGGAATAGTAGTTTAAATTGAAAGAAGGCTCTTTAGGCTGGAAGAAGGCCTCAAACTTTGCTCAGTGGACTGATACAAAAAGGGGAGGATCCACTAGGGCTGCCATTCCCCCACGTGGGCAGGGGTTTGTCTGCTTTTAGGGCCCCCGATCTGCCAGCTCAGATTCGGCCGGCAGGGGGAATCCCTGCTCCCAAAGTGCCGCATTCAGGCCAATGTGCCCATCACCTGAAGGTGATGTCATTACACAGAGCACATTGCGGGAGGACATAAGAACATAAGCACATAAAAGAAGCCAATGTTGGATCAGGCCAATGGCCCATCCAGTCCAACACTCTGTCACACAGTGGCCAGAAATATCAGGTTCCATCTAGGAGGTCCGCCAGTGAGGCCAGCAGAAGCCCTCCCACTCTTGCCCCCCCCAAGCACCAAGAATACAGTGCATCACTTGCCCCATACTGAGAGTTCCTGTCGATACTTTGTGGCTAATAGCCACTGATGGACCTCTGCTCCATATACATATCCAATTCCCTCTTGAAGCCATCCATGCTTGTAGCCGCCACCACTTCCTGTGGCAGTGAATTCCATTTGTTAAGCGCTATGGTTTCCCCCAAAATGATAGAGGCCCCGCCCACAAAATGCCCTTTCCTACACGATGATGTCACTTCTGGGTGATGTCATCATGGCGTGCACGCTTTGCGCATGCACTGAAGAACTCCCGAGGAGGAGGAAGACTCCTCCCACTGGCAGCCAGGTAAGACCTGGCAACCCTAGGATCCACCCCAATACAGAAGTCATTCGTTCCTCCCTGTTGTGTTTCAGTCCACATGGAATCATGCCTTAGGCCAAACTCAAGCCAAATCACAGGTTATGCATACTGAATGGTTCTTGTTTTAATTAACTTGGTCTAAATGCTAGGTGTATCTTTGTTGTTTATTCTGCTGATAACAGCACTAGAGGTACTTTGATCTATAATAAAGGAAATGATCACATTCATGTTCTTAAAATAGACTGCTTTTCACAAACCCCAAATGTATCCAGGAACTGGCCATTCTGCTTTCCTGAACACAAACATACACACAGAGTCACACGGAAATATCTTTTCTACAAAAGACATCTGAAACAGTGCTCTTACTTCATAGCTCCTGCTTAGCAGGTCAACAGTGCAATCCTATGTAAAGTTATTCCACTCCTAGGATCAAACTACATGTGATGGCTGCGTTGTAGCTGCCACAAGGGCTCCATTGCCATTTTAAAGAGATTGTAAAAGGCTGTGAGGCAACCAGGGGTCATTTGGGGCCGGAGTGCCCTGGAGTACCGCTCTGGCAGCCCAGGAGCTGGCACAAATGGCGGTGGTGGCAAGCCCTACCCCCAGCTCCCTGATCAAAGCGCTGCGGACTGGGGGAGGCCTGAAGAGGCCCATCGCCGGCCTCCATGGGCCCATGCTGGAGCACTGCGGCCCGAGGAGGCCTGAAGAGGCCCGTCCGCAGCCTCCCGGGGCCCGCGTTGGAGCGCTGTGGCCCGGAGGAGGCCTGAGGAGGCCCTTTGTCGGCTTTCCAGGGCCCGTGCTGGAGCGCTGCAGCCTGGGGAAGGCCTTGATCATGGTAAATGGGGGATCCGTGTGAGGGCGGGAGAGCCTTCCTCCCTCTCCCCATCTCTTTGCCCTCTTTCTTTTCCTCCTTTCCTTTTCTTTGTCTCTTTCCCCCTTTCTCTCTTTTCCTCCTTCTTTCCTTCTTTCTCTTTCTTTCTTTTCTTCTTTTCCTTCTCTCTCTCCTTCCCTTCTTTCCTTCTCTCCTTTTTCTGTTACCCTCCTTTCATTCTCTCCTTTTCCTTCTTTCCCTCCTTTCTTCCCTTCTCTTTCTTTCTTTCCCTTCTTCTTTCCTTCTCTTTCTTTCCCTCTTTCCTTCTCTCTTTTTATCCCCTTTCCTTCCTTCTTTTCTTCTCTTTCTTTTCCTCTTTCCTTCCCTCTTTCCTCCTTCTGCAGCCTAATTCTAGTGAGAAGGGGTTTAAAATGTAAAACCCTTCTCTGTTCGCTTCCCCCCCCCCGCCCCGCAGGCCGGCTGGGGAAGGGAAGGGGAGGCTTTTGAAGATGCCTCCCCCCCTTTTTGCTTCCCCTTCTGACATCATATCTGGTGATGTCAGGGGGCATGGCATATGCTAATGAGCTATTATGCTAATAGCCTAGTAGCTCATTAGCATACCTTATGCTAATGAGCTCCTGCAGCTCTTTTTCTATGAAATGACCCCTGGAGGCAACAATCCTGATTTGGCCCAACAGGGTAGCGTGCTGAGGTGTTTTTGTCCCCCACACACCTTATCGACTGCAGAAATGGCCTCACACCCCAATGTGACTGGTTTGGCACTTGAAAAGTTGTCTGAGGGGAAACAAGATCTCTGTGCAGCTGGCCTGATTGGGATCAGGCTGTCATGGCATTTTCAAACCACTGGCTTTATTTGGCCCTAGGTTTGGCCCTATGTCTAGTTCAGCTATTAACTGGGACTGGGCTTAGACTAGAGTAACTTTTCATTTTTATTGTACTGTATATTTTACATTTGAGATCACTTAGGGAAGACTATATTTTGAATAAGGAAATGTTAATGAGAGGTTTGATTTCAATTACTCAACAAACGGAAATAGCCAATAAAACAATTTTCATTCAGGGCCAGAAAGTGGTGAGTTTTAAAACTTCGGTTTCCTGCTCAGTAATTAGTTCATATAAAATAATAGCACTTGCATAGGTTATTTCTGTGCTGTTACTTACACAAAACAGATACAGAAAGGAAACAAAGCCAAATTTAAATAATCATACTTGATTGTCTCCCTCTCTTCCTCAATCTTGCTGCTTCAAAAAGTAAAATCTTATTCTACATATCAATGATTTAGAAAAGGAAGAAGAAAAGCATGATCAATGTTTTCATGCTGAATGCTCTAATAAATTGTCCATTCTTCTAACTCAGTTAGGAAAGCTAATACAATTCCCATATAAGATTGCTACAGGAGATATGCTGGCTGGAGCTTGAAGGCATTTGCTGCCACATAAGGCAGCTCTTCATCAGACATAAAAGAGAACCACTCTATTAACGCTCCCATTTAAAGCAACACGTGAGATCTAACCCTGGAGACACATCCTTGTGGCGCTAATTTAGGGAACCAGATATGGCTGCTTCAGCATATCCAGTCTCCACAGCAGAAATGGGGTAGAGTGATACACACTCATGTTGGTGCTCTGCCAAACCACACAGTTGACAGAGACCACTGTGGGATGGGTATATTACCTGACCCAGCACTATCGCCTTCTCCTTTTAGTACAAGGGATTTGGGTTGAGCGAGTGCAGGGGGTGGGCTGCTGATTCTGGTGTCTGGGTCAGAGGTCCACCCTTCCATGCAGGGTATTCTTCCCAGGATATAGATGCTGGCTCAGCCAGTCTATGTAGGTTACCACTGCTATCTCTTCTGGGTGAAAAATACAGGGACTGTATGAGTGTCTGGACTGGATTCCACTCATCAGAGGGTGTATCTGGCCTCCATGAGTGGGGATGATGCTATGTGCTGATAGCGCGTGGGATTTGGTCCCATTTCTGAAAGCAGCCTCCACACGCCTAAGAGGTCCAAAAAATATCCAGAGGAATTTCAGAAGCAGTACTAGAAATTCTGCTAGTATATATGTGCTTGTGTGTGTAAACCACTGTAAACATGCAAATTAGCAATCCATAATTCCCCAACAATTTGCTATTGAGTTTAGAAGGATTTTGAGCAAGACCTGAGCATTGAATTGTATTTATGGCCTCTCTGCAAATGTCCGAGACAGAACAGTTTACTCACTCAGATTCTCCAGGAGATGTTTGCAGTCGTCAGTAGCCACATCATGCAGCGTTCTGTTGCATTTATCTTTCCTCTCAGCTTCTAATCCACCATGGCTACACAAGATTTCCAGGCAGCTCTGGGAAGAGAACAGCTGCATTAAGTTGAGAGTTGCAAGCAATTGACTTGAAATTCACTTAAATGAGCTACACTGCCTGAGGTAGACAGGTCAAGATTCAACTTTTGGAGCTGTTGCTTCAGTCCTTAAAACTACACAAAAAGTAATTATGATGGACAGGCTAGGTTCTCCCTAAGAGCAGCCAATGAGAGCAGAGGGAATGTTGAGAAGAGTTGAGAAATGACAGTTAGGGGATAGCAGCAAACAAGTAGACAGCTTAAGGGCTGAGGTGAAAAGAGGGTTTTCTGACTGAGGGGAACCGTATAAAAGATCTGCTTGGAACAGGCTGAAAATAGTAAATTTGTAACTAAAGGATTTAGGGTTGCCAGGTCCAATTGTTCTGCCTGTGGAGTAAGGGAGGGAGCCTTCCAAGAGTGTGTGGGGGTGTAGCATGGCGTCCCCAGCGCAATGACGTCACACAGAAGTGATGTCATCACACTAGGAACGTCATACAGTGATACTCTAGCATTTTGGCTAAAACTCTATAGTTACCATAGAGTTTTGGCCAAAATGCTAGTGTCACTGTGCAACATTCCCAGCGTTAGGGCATCTTTCAGTAACTTATCAACGCAGAGTTTTCACTGCTTCTGACGTTAAATCTGGGGAAGCCATGCTAAGGAATTTAGAAAAGGTAGTTACATAATAAAACCCAGTAGAGACATGCCTTAAAGAACTCTACAAGAACTTTCAAGATCCTCTGAAGATTATAAAGGAATAGGAAATTATCATTTTAGAACCCTCATAGAGAGAAAAGTAAGACTAAAACTTAAACGATTGGAGCAGGGCGGGTAAGGCATTTGGGAGGAATCCCCCCACCACCTCCCACAGGGAGGGGTCCCAGGAAAAGACCCCCTTCGGATTCTTCTGAAGCCCCAAAGTGAGGTGACAACCTCCAAGAACTCCACTATGAAGAAACAGACACTGTTTAAATGATAGCAATTAAAGACTATAAAACTTAGAAGATAGAATATTATGAGAAACAGTCTGAGACTTACGAAGGAAACACTGTAGAAGCTTAATTGATATAAAATAACAGTCATTAGTTATATGTTTATTAAATTATGTACTATTTGTCTAGGAGTTTGAGGAGATGATAGTAATTGTTTAACAAGCAATCACTGGCAGTGAACAAGAAAATAATTTTATTTATATTAAGTAGACACTGGCAGTACTATAGAGTAAAAATGGAAGGGATAGTTTGTATACCATTCCAAAACTGTATGATATTTGTGTTATGAACATGTGATGCGGAAAACAATAAAATATACTATAAATAAAAAGATGTTGAGCAAAACAGGTCCCAGGACAGATCCTTGAGGCACTCCATTTGTCACTCCTCTCCAAGAAGATGAGGAACAATTCACAAGCACTCTTTGGGTGCAATCTGTCAACCAGTTACAGATCCGCCTAACAGTCATAGGGTCCAAACCACATTTTTCCAATTTGTCAGCAAGTATATTATGTGTAACCTTATCAAAAGCCTTACTAAAATCAAGAAAAACTATGTCTACAGCATTCCCCTAATCCAGCAAGGTAGTAACTTTCTAAAAAAAAAAAAGATAAGGTTAGTCTGACATGACTTGTTCTTCATAAACTCATGCTGGCTCTTAGTAATTACAGCCGTCCTTTCTAAATGCTCAAGGACTGTCTGATTATTTTTTCTAAAACTTTCCCAGGTATAGACGTCAAGCTGACGGGTGGGTAGTTACTTGGATCCTCCTTTTTCCCCTTCTTGAAGATGGGGACAACATTTGCCCTTCCACATGATATTGCACTGACAACATTGATGTGCAACATGCCTGTTTTTGGGTGGGGCTTCCATGCCATGCCATGCCAGCCAGCTGGCTGGAGGCAGGTTGAAACTCTGAAAATTGGGGGAACCCCTACTTGAACCAGGGGTCTGGCAACCCTAAAAGGATCCCAGTTGTGGGTATAGGACCTCAGTTCACAAGTTTAATGAAAGTGGAACGTTGTTTCTTAGACTTTACGTTCCTCAGTGTTTTGTTCTTATAAATAAGTTTCTTGTTTGGTTTAACCCTGTGGGCTATATGTCTCAGGGAAAGAAACACACACACTTTAATATCTCAGTCTATATACATATATATTCTAGAACACAAATGAATGGTGGCAGCCAAACAGTATTTGAGCCCCAACCCCAATAGCTCTGTATGAGTGACAGGTGGGGCTGAGAGAGCTCTTTCAAGAACTGCTCTTTCAAGAACAGCTCTGACAGAACTATGACTTGCCCAAGGTCATCCAGCAGCTGCAAGTTGAGGAGTGGGGAATCAAACCCGGTTCTCCCAGATTAGATTACAGTTTAAATCCAATAGACTAAAACCCCCAATACTCTCCTCCCTCCCCAAAATCCCTACAGCCTATGCCCTGTTAAAGGCCCTGGTGAACAGAGTGGCCTTGCAGTGCCTCCTGAAGATGTCTAATTATGGTATTCCCCTCATCCCCTTCCACAAAATAGGAGCTACAATGGATTCCTATTCATGTCAGCATCTCCCAACAGGACTACTGCTGCTGCTTATAAATAGCAGCATTTTGAAACTGACATATATGGCTCAGGAAAGCACCATATGAAATGGCTTTGTTAAACGTGCACTTGGACCAAACAATCCTCAATATGCTCCCAGTACCATTCATGCCATGCAGCCTTTTAACTGAGGAAGCCTTATGTAGGAGGAATCTTGAAATTGCTTTCTGATAGTTTAAAAAATGTTTCACTATGTTCTCAGAGTACAAGGAAAATGTCCTTGACATTCACCTTAGGAAAACAAAATGCTAGATCATATATACATGAATTTCTCTGCCAAGACCTCTAATACTCTCAGCTATGAATGATCTATTTAAGAAAAATAGATTGACTGTTAGAAGTCTAAGTATACTGACTTATAAAAAGTGAGATCAAAACAGAATACCGTATTTTCCGGACCATAAGACGC